AGATGTGTATAAGACATGTATATATATGTATGTATGTATGTATATGATATTTTTAGCCAATTATTTTTAACGCATCTGTGAAACCGTCTTTAAAATCGCAATAGTTAAAGGTACATAGGCACAATTACACAAGGACCCCGTGGGTGAGCATTTTGGGGGTATTTTTAGGAATACCTGTATTTGTTCCGATATCTATCCATGTCTAGTCTCTGAAAAAATAATTTTTTTCTGTCTCATTGGAAGTTGAGGCCATGTCCAAAACATGCCTAAATATGGTCATGATGACATCATATCACACTATCATATGACGACTATATATGGCATACAGCAGGGTTTTTTTTCAAAGAAGATTTGATAGTGGACGTATGAACAATCAAATGTTTTGAAAGAATTTGCGAGTTATTTCTTTCACCAAAATCTTTCACCTGTACTGTACTTTATTATTTTATATGTTAATATTCTAAAGCATATGGCTTTACAGTCATAATAATATAGAGTAGTACATTATATACAAGCATTTTGCATCAGTGATATTTACGTTCTTATTACTAGCCCATCTCATGATTATCCCAAATAAATTAATCGAAATATGAGATATAACCTAGTTTTATTTAGTCCTAATTTTGGCAAGATTAGTATTACATTACTTGGTGTAATATTATACAATTGTAAAATATCAGTTTCAAAATGCGGCTTACAGCGTTACCGATAAGAAAATTATTAAACAGCATATAAAATATCATATACTCAAAAGAAGTTTGCGTAGGGATTGTTAAATTTGATCAGCAACAAAAACATATTGGCTGCTATTGTATACCATTTGTATGTATTTTTCTTTTATATTTGCGTATGCTGTACAATAAAGAAAAACGATAGGCTTACATAATACTGTAATCACGTCATTGTTTTTTTTTTCGAAGTATGGGCAGCCAATGATTCTTTTATTCTACATCGGAAGGATTGTTTCTGTATGAGCTATAGCTTCGTGGATGAGGTACCTGCCTTCAATTCCTGCCAACAAGAGAATGAAAGGATTTTCTCACAACTACTATCTATAGCTAAGCCTCATAATCGTAGTTCTAAAGATCTTATGTGCAAATCGAGAACCAAAGGGAAAACGATTTAGGAAGGGTTTTGGCATTGTCTATAGTCGGGGTCCAGTTAGTGGCATAGGAATGGGCAGTACAGCCAGTACAAAATCTTGTGTAAAATATATGGATACATTAGGTTTGTTATAATTATTAATTTTACAGTTGTACTGTATTTCAACATTGGTGTCATTGTCAATATCTTTATTAGAAAAAAAAAGGGTACTGACATCATTATATCTTGTACAGATATAACGCATTGATAATCAATGAGTGATATGCAAAAAGCATTGATTTATATAATTTTTATATAAAATTTTAATATTTTTACTGTATTCAACACTTTTATAGTAATGAGTACGTTATTATCCTAAGATACACTTTAACAAAAAGAAAGTAAGCTTTAAAAAAAATTTTTTTAATGTGTAAGAACATAAAAAAGAAAACCCAGAAAAATGGAGAAATATCAAACTGTATTGATTGTATGGAGATGAATAAGGGTGGTGGTGGTTACCTTACAAAAGAGAGAGAAATATATATATATATATATAATATTTCATTTGTGTTCCACGTGTGTTCCGACAGAATAATAGAAAATAATGAAACAACTTCATTAGTAGACTTTAAGAACACTGATTTATTATAAACTCGGATATTTCTGCCACTCCTGTGGCCTTCATCAGCGAGAATGATGAAGGCCACAGGAGTGGCAGAAATATGAGACAGTATATATACCACGAAAAAAAGGAGGATAATGGAAGACTAACCCACAACTAAATCAATGTACAAAATCAATTTAAGACCTATATCAATTGTAAATGTAAACCATGCCTTATGATGATATTGATGAAAAAATATGGTGTTTTGCAACAAAAGAGAAAAAAGACAGTCTTGAGTTTTCTTACGGATTACAAAAACACTATCCGTATTTGCAAATGCCAATTAAAACCTATTTTTAAGTTTAAATGTAATGTTTGTATTTGTATAATTATAATAACAATGAAAATGAATGTAATAAATAAAAATAATACAGGTCTCCCTCCAATTAAAGACCACTTTTGGGACTGGAGTTTCCATGGTCTTTAGCAGCTTTGGTCTCAGAATAATAAAGATAAAAGACAGTTGTTAGTATAGGACCACAGAAAAGTGGTCTTTAATTAGAGGTGGTCCTAAATTAGAGGGGTCTTTAATAGAGAGAGACCTGTGTAATAATTTTTTGGAAAAAATGCAAATAACCCCCTTCAAATCCGCCCCTGGACAAATGCAAAAAAAGAAAAGACGAACTAAATTGAACGACGTTGGTTTTATTTTCTATATAGGAATTTAAAAAGTTTTGAATACAAGGATAGACAAGGTGGATATATATATATAGACAAACATCAAATTTCAACGCAAGGAGGTATAATACTATATTATTGTAATTAAAAAGCACCTATAAGATGGTTGAATACTTAACCAGGTAAAACTATAAGTAGTATTTTCATTGTACAGAAGTGAGTTGGGAAACAGCTTAGCACATGTTTTTATAATCATTATTTTCATTGATAAAATGTATTAATTTTACAACCAATGGAATCTTAATAAATAGATCAAATACACACACATAAACACACTTATGCTAACAAAAAAACAAATTAAAAAGCTGATACTTTTTTGTTCTGGTGCACCTACTGCCAGTATATTTAAGTGGGTATAGTACCACTGTCGAGACTCATTTACACACAGAGGGCAGCAGCAGGTATTATGCAACTGTGATCATCTCATATGCTGCCCTTTTGCTGTGTGCAAATTATTGGCATTTACCATTAACATCATAATCTTATGATACAAAACCATGGTAAACTACTATGCTCTCTATTCCAGTCTCAGTTCACAAGGCATTGTAATATAATGTAACACTCAATTCTGATACTGTATAACCTGGTTCTTGTAATGCATGTTTGTCCATGTTTGTTATAAAAGAGTGTCATACAGTAATACAACATTACTACAACCTTTTTTTTTAAATTAAGTACATACAGGTAATTACATAATAAAAAAGTATTTGCATACATTTTAAGTTCAGTACAAATTTTTAATAGAGAGGGATTGTTATGGCCTACTAGTTTCAGTGAATAATAATAATCAGCTTATACTGTAAACTGTATTGCTATACCTGTATATATATATATATATATATATATATATTTTACTTTGATCTGTTTACTGAAGCTGGTGATGAGTTGTTTTTTAGCATTTTGCATGTGATTTTGTGAGTTGCTGTGTTGAGAACATTTCATCCATCTTCATTTGCCTTACTAATGGTTCCTGTATTTGGCAACCCCACGGCGATCATTAATTATTCAAAACCTGACAAAACAGTGCCCAATTATCAACATTGCTGTATATTATTATCGAGTCTGAAGCAGAGGCTTTTCATAACACGTACATATCATACCAGAAAGCTTTTAATATTTATAGGCCTAGGTGGCTTAAGAGACTATACAGTCAATTTGCCGCTGAATGGGAAAATGATTTTAGGCAAGAAAAAATTCTGATTCAAATGAGAGGACACTGATAGAAAGACAAATAATAATAATTATTCACCAAATTTTTAGAGCAAAGAAATGAAACTCAGGTACTGGGATATTTAAGTCAATATTGAAGAATGTTTAGTATGCCAAGCTTGACGAAAGCCTGTTCTGCTTCATCGCATGCGCCTTTGAAAACGTAATTACTCATAATCCTGAAATGGTTTGTGATAAATCTACTAATGGATCTTTTCGGGTGCCAATGTTTTAAGGCCAGCATATTTAAACAGGCTAGTCTATGAATATGCTAACCTATTAGAACATTGTAAAATAAATGTTTTTCTTTTTTTAAGTGTAGAATTAAATGTTTAAGTAGTTACTGAATGATCAATTCAGTATTTCATATAAACCCAGTAGCTGTATTTTACTTTGCGGGCTTATCATGGGATGAATCCTATTTAAATACTCAATATCTTATATTTTTGCCATCCAAGTGTAGTTTTAGGTATTTAACTTATTTATTGCGTATCTAATCCTTCATCTTCAAAAAAACAAAAAAAAACAAAAAAAAAACAGATAGGTGATCTATGTATGCCACTTGCTTGCTCTCAGCTATGTTCATTTGCACCATAACTATACAGTAATTCCCAGCCTAGCCAGTATAATGGGCAATTATAGTACAGTAAAGCATTAATAAAAATGACTTGTATGTAGACGGAATGATGAAGTGGTATATTATTAATGCAATTAACGTTATTATTGTTTTTCACTAGTAAAAGCTTCAAGATCATCTATCATTTATAGTGTATATTGCTATCTGATTCAGAACGATTTTGCCTTTCCATAATTATGAACCGTATCAAGTAGCTACCTATTTACATGCACTCCACAAATAATATATCTATAAGTGACATAAGTTAAAAACAAAACAGCTTTTACAATAGCAAAACTTCAACTCCTATATTGGTCAGTAGTATAAATAAATAAAAATTGTCCAGACTGATAATCAAAATAAATACAAGAAGACTGAATGTTGAACACTATGAGAAATGCATTTTCATTTTTTTTGGGAGTGTTAGAAACTAAACTCACACTTTGCCAATTGCTCAGTGCCTAATTGAGATTTGATTTCCACAAAAAATGGCAATGCATTCACTAGGTCTACAGGTACAAATTGTCGATGATTAAGGTATCAAAAGATAAAAAGCATTCAAAGAATACAGGCTCCTGAAATTGCAGCACAACTTACTATTTACAGTCCATATGCTGTTGAATAATCACATTGATTTGGCACCTTCTATTATAATACAGTAAAAAATAAACGGATGAACATCAATAAACATAACACTGAAATGCCTTGAGTAAAGTATTTACGATTTTCCTGCCACATCTTAAAATGATGATTTTTGCAGACTTGACATTTTCTTGTTTTTGAAGAAAGCAGATTAATGAGTATTACAACGTATTGACAATGTTCTTCTCAGCAACTTGGTCTACCTCTTTACTTTGAAGTCATCATTGTCACAAATTCTGCAGAAGAAAAGAATAATCCATATAATTGATTAACTAAGCATGTATAAAGTTTTTTTTTCTCCTCTTTTGTGGTGTAACCACCACATTTATTCATCATGATCATAATACCTCATATATTACATGATGTTCAATATACATGAGTATATATGTTTTTGTTAATACCCACACAATTTTTCAATACATATTTTTTTTATCATGGTAATTTAATATTTTCCATATAATATAATATTCTTTTAGATTTTCAGAATCACAATGTACATTGTGATTTTATACATTTTACACTCTTACTTGTGTTACATAAAAAAAACAGATCATTTTCTGGTAATGCCCAACTTATACATCTTAGTAAATTTGTTCACCATTGGTTCATGATTAGGTCATAGGCTTGTATGCCACATTACATCATTAAAATGGCAAATGATTTGAAGTAGGTGGGTGGATATGGTGATTAACTTGCAATTCCTGGGTCATTGGTTCAATCCATGTTAATGTCAGTATTTGTCCAAGTCTTACTCCTCATTTAGCTTGCATTATACAATGTACAGTAGACCTAAACAGGAATATCTGAATACATGTTCACTAATCCTAAAAGAAGAGTAGATCTAAGCATAATGTCATCTCATAAGCTGTTTCTCTTAAAAGTCAGCATAAACTAGTTGGCTAAGTTTATTATGAACTAGAGAAGCTTCTTCGGCAATCGCTATTGGGAAACCTTCATTCACAAAACACAAGAGGATAAACTGAAAACAATCTCTAGAGGAAAAGTGAATATTTCCTTTCAAAAGGTTTTATAACCCATTACAGATCTTATTACACTTGGCCACTGAGTTCGAGAACGAAACAATCTAAATTGCAATGAATACTTGAATCATGGTGCATACTCTTTGTAAGGCATCATCATAATTGCAGTACCTACACATCTAGTATGAGGAGCTATGACCTATGTATAAATAAATTCTCAATTGGTTTGCTTTAGCTATTTTCATTTCGAGCTAATACTGTTTCCAAAGCCCCTGTATAATGACAATTTCCCCCCGACATTCATAATTACGGAAATGAATTTATTGCTCTACTTTACCCTGGTTTTTTTTTGTGTTGCCATGGAGATATGACAATTTCTTGAAAAAATAATTGGTCAATGAGGTATAACCTAAGGACTAATGTAGTGTATCTTGCTAAAATCAGGTTCAATAGAAATCATTCATAGACTTTAGCTGGGAGTAGCACTGTGTACCCAAACTGAGAGAGCAAATAAAACTATATTAATAGGCAGAGTGAACAAATAATCAAGTTAAACAAATAAGTGGGAGATGAATGCAATTTCCCATAGCAACAAATTGGTATTTAACTTATCAACAAAGAGGTTATAGTTAGGATATTGAAAATAGTATTAGGGTTTATGGAGATGAAAGTACCACAAGTTAATAATAACAATAACATAACTGAAATTTATGACGTTTCCTTAAAAAGTAATGTTTTGATATTAGCTTTGAGTGGACATTGGTGGGTTTGGGGATTTTATTCATTGTATAAATGATAATCAGTTATCTCAGACAAAAAAAAGGTTATTTTATATCTCAGACAAAAAAAAAAGTTATTTTTACAATTTGTGATAAAATTAGTTTGAAGTATAAGAGGTTAAATTACTATAAAACAAAAAGGAATGCAAAAAAGAAAAAAAAAAAAGAAAAAAGAAAAAGCAGATATAAATCTGATGGTAAGAATAGGAAGCCTTTTGCTATATATCCCATAAATATATAAAAGTATAATAATAGGAGTATAAAGAAAACACAAAAGTTTCTTTCCTTCACGACCCTAAAACATCTACAAACAATACACATCTACTGTACTAGGTCAGAGATACCTTGACAACAAATCGTTTTAAAGTGTCTATCCACTAACAGCAATTTGTAGCCTCCACACACCCTCTATCTATTACGATAAATTCATTGTGAAGTCAAATCGATTGGGCACTGATATACGATGTCATCAACTGCACATAATTAACCCATCAGACTTTGAGATTAGATTTCAAACAAACTAGCCATAAGAGTTTAAGGCATTCATCAATGGACACTCTACAAGTATCGAGTAATCAATCTTCGCTGGCTGCCAAATCAAACAAACATGTACTAGTACACTACCACGTATTATAATGTGCCTCATTGAAAGTGAGAATCATCGATATACGTTACCTTCATAATTCACTTGGCCGTCACCATCAATATCTGCCTCCCTTATCATCTCGTCAACTTCTTCGTCAGTAAGTTTCTCACCCAGATTGGTCATCACGTGTCGTAATTCAGCAGCGCTGTGCAAAACAAAATAAAAAAAAAAACCCTGTAACAAAATGCATTTGAATTTCTTAACGATAAAACAACGATCAGATACTATGATGTGAAAGATTAATCACAATGATGTCGACATTTGAAAACAGGAATGTAGGTCAATATTTAAGGTTTATTTCTCAGTTGTAGATTTCAACATGCTTGACTAAACCCATCAGTTGCAATACAATAATAAACAGCACTATTTATGCAGTATTTGGATTTGTTAATTGCAGAAGAAATTTTTTATTTCAAGGGTAATAATAACTTAAAAAATACAAATTAACCAACTCAATTATTTTATTTATTAGCACAACAGATATTCTACGAAACAGAATGTACATAATGATTAAATCCAGAATATATAACACTGCAGTGTTCCCCTGGAAGGTACTACACAAAATAAGTCACTGTTAATATTATCATCATCATCACCATCTCATCATCATTACTGTTTAGTAGAGTAGGGCTACTATTATCATTATTAATGTTATTATTATCATTATTAAATGGTAGTATTATTATTAAATCATATATTGTTGTAGTAATATTATTATTAGTATCTCTTACCATATTATAATACTTTTATAATTTTTTGTTAATTACATCAATTATATTTATTGAATATATAAATTAAATTATTGTTCTGTAATAAATATCATTAAATATATTAACAAACAACAGCCAAAGGTGGCATTACAAATGATGTAACCAATCAAATAATTATACAATAAAGTAAGAATGTAAACAAAAATATTGAAATAAATGAATAATATTCAATTTTGCCTTAGACTAATCATGTATGTGACTGAAACGCTTAGTCTTTTAGCAGCCTATAGATTTACAATACATCAAAATCAGATTACGACTCAACAACTGACTTATATCTGATAATAAAGCAGAAGACATTCTCACATTGCATAGGAACTGACAATGCTTATAATACGAAGTAGATCAACACACTTAAACATCTCGACTGATATTAAATTTTCCGACGTACTCCTTAAGGATATTCGCTCATCGTAATACCACAAATCGGATCAGACTGTGCACAAATACTCATTGCACATTTACACTGTACATTATTTTTTCAATTTAGGATAATTGAAAACAATCTGCAAAATTATCGTAGTCAAAAGAATATGAATATTTTGATAAGCCCAAGAGGTTTGAATTAGTTATTATCTGGAAATAATGCTTTAGCAGTGATCTGATAGTTAGATTGTTGATATGGCTCCTCATCTATACATGCGAAAACCCCTCCATATAAACTCTCTAAATGTATGACGTGGGCTTAATTAACGATGGCATATCGTAGGCTTGATTGCATATATTGCCTGACAAACATGTAGGGTAGAATTACAAGAGAAACCTCAATGTTGAGCACACCAATACCCAAGTCAAATTAACTGAAAAGATCAGATGGAATGTTCATGGGTTTTAAAGTCAAGTATTAAACATCAGTATGACATTATCAAATTGAAATTTAATTTTTAAGGCAAGTATAGCATACACAATCACAATGTTTAGTACAAAAATGCCCAAGATGTATTCACTGACAAATTATTTAGAGATTATATGATGTCTCTTAAAGTACAGTACTAGAATCGTAGCAATTTGAGATTCATATTTAATTGACAGGGCTAGTACAGCATACACAATCACAAAGTTAAAAGTACACTAACACTAAACTACCATAAACTGAGAAATAATACATTTTAAAGCTTGGGAAAACATTATTCAAGAGCAGCTTTTACATACACAACATGGATAGCCAATAGGTTTTCACCTGACAGAATTTGAATATTATAAATTTCAAATCTAGCATCGTATTGATATCAGTATAGCATAATATTCATATTCAATTGATAAGACAAGTGTACAGATGTTAATGAATTTAAATAGGCATTATGTGATGTAGATGCGGACTACTGCGTCAGATTAATTTTAGCAAGCCAAAGACGGACAGTGTGAGGAAGTCATGGACGGATGCATCCTCGATAATATATCTTTACTCTATATAAAATTTTTCATTTTTTTAATTCTTGCAAATCAGGCTAAGCCAATAAAATATTTAATTTTTGTCATTCTGGCCCTTTAGTAGAAATTCAGGTAAGGAATAAGTGTAGTTTGTGGGACAAAATATGTAAATTAGAGGAAATAAGCCAAATTTAGACCAAAAAATACTCAATATTGAGGGGATTATATCACAGTAGTGTTGAGTGTTTAGTTCTTTGTTTAGTGCTTAATTGTAGTAGGTTGTATTTACCCTAAATTTTTAATTTACTTTTTTAAAGTGCCATAGTAATGTTCTCCAGTTTCTTATTGTTAAAATAAAAGTTACCTTGATATATTATTTTTATGGTGATTGCTAGCTTTGATCTATACGTAATGTCTATGATCTATATTGGTTTTTATCCTAGCTTTTCTTGAGTCAAAACCATCTAAGGTGCTTGCTAATCTCTGTCTTCCAAATTCTTTTATTTGTCAAAAAATGTTTATAGTATTTTTATTGTCACTGATGCTTTTGGCCATATAAAAACATGTTTCCTCTTTCCACCCAAATGCACATGAGAAACATGTCAATATTATTATTTGGTTCACAACTGGGGGCTGAGGTGCTTTTAAGAACATTTCAATCAGTGACTTTAACTATAGGGCTAACTGATCAACCAACTTCAAATTACAGCAATTTCAAAGTTTCTTTTTACCTGGGGCTGTAAAGAAATCTATATATTCATATCCAGTTACCTTATATATCCATTTCCATCCTTGTCAAACACTCTGAAAGCCTCTCGTATTTCTTCTTCACTATCTGTGTCCTTCATCTTCCTGGCCATCATGGTTAAAAACTCAGGAAAGTCAATGGTGCCATTGCCTGCAAAATATTCAAATCAAAAAAAGTGTTTATTTGCCTGATTTAAACACAACATTTAGGATTAATAACAATGTTTATGATTTACCATAAACATTACAAATTTTGTAATATAATTATCAAAAAAAATATTATCTTGAATGCTTGCGTTTTATTCAATACTTTTTGGGCATTTAATTATTAATCATTTATTCCATCCTCATCCTAAAAAAAGAAGCATTTTGCCACTCAAGAAAATGATGCTCTAAAATGAAGCTGGGTCCACACACTGGGTCAGTCAAAGCTGCTCATTGTGGGATGTCAATCTAAGGTACTCATCATCTGAAAACGATACGATGTGCACGCCTCGCATAGAATCACATCGACCGACGCATTGTGCACCTGGCTTTAGCCACAATATGAGGCATACGGAGTGGAGATGATTTGGTCATTAGCCTGAAAAAAATTAGGATTTGAACCAAAGACTTTGGATATCAACCACCAAGCTGTATTTTACCCCTAAACTCTACAGTAGATGGTATATAATAATTATTACAGTAATGGTCAATAATTATCAATCAAATGTTCTCCCACTGATAATATTTTTTAAGCATAGTACATTTCATACAAGATAGATCCTAACCATGGTTTGTAAAACTGGGGCAGATAAAGTGGACATGCTTTTCATGTTATGGGAAAATCAATAGAAAACGTTGAAAAAATTCAATGATATACAACCGAAGACTAATGATGGAGAAATGACCTAAGTGTGCTCACTTAACAGGCTGCCAATCAGTCACTTCATGATGAAGATAAGTGGGACATCACATAGAACTTATATTAAGAACAAGATTTAGAGCAGATTTTAACCGTAATCCTTCGACGTGTATCAGACGCTTCTGCTACACACCTCAAGCAGAACTGAAGACTCATGTTGGATTATCAAATGACTTATAACCCTTTTAATCTTGAGTATTGCATGCAAAATTAGAAGAGATTTATAACGATCATACCATCGGCATCTACTTCATTGATCATATCTTGAAGTTCTGCTTCCGTTGGGTTTTGTCCCAAGGATCGCATCACAGTTCCCAGTTCTTTGGTGGTGATGGTGCCATCACCATCTTTGTCGAACAAGGAGAATGCCTCCTTAAATTCTACAAGAAAAATACATATTTAAACCCAAAGTTATTAATTTTAAATAATAACACAACACAATGACCTTATCAATTTAACTGTTTGAATTATGAGATATTATTATCAATTTGTGATTCAAATACTGTGATTATAATTTACAATTTTCTGTAGTTGGTAAAAATGTATGATAAAACCTACTAAAGTTATGGATACAATGAATATTCATGACCTGGAGAAAATGCTAATAAAATATTTATAACCAAATCTAGCTACTTTAACCTCAATTTATTTATGATCATTACAATCAATTTATAACAATAATTTATAATGCTGTCCAAAGCCTTTACACATGGGATCCGGTCAAGGGCCTTGGTAGCCCATGCGTTGCTCGCAATCCAAATTCCACCATTTAAAAACCTAACATGCTGTAGCTGACTTCAGCAGTAGGAATTAATAATAAACTTGTAGAGCAGATGATATGTAAACTACAATGATTGCATGACAATTGTTCAACATAAATCATTTATCTATGATTTTAGCATTAATAGTTTAGTTAGCCTGGTTTTCCTTGGAGATTCATAAAAGTAAAAAGTACCATTAGAAGAAAATCAATACTGTATTGACATTGCAGCAAAGCTTCTGAACATCCCTTCATACACTCGCATTCATCAAACCACTTACCAGCTATTTGTTCTTCTGTCAGCTGATCTGCCTGCATAACAAAATCAAACAAAAACAAATTACATACATTTCAAATACCAAAGAAAATGTATTTAAAGCCCTAGCCACACTCAAATTTGATTTGACAAAAACATATGACATGCTTAAACATGGTCATGATGACATCACATCAAGACCATATATAGGCACATCATGACTTCAAGTGGGCATACAGCAGTTTGTCAAAGAAAATTTGATAGTGTGGACAGATCTGCATTTTAGATTAAGCTTTTATCATATTGTAATTAAGTCTCTTTACAATTTAATAATATATGCAATTTTTATTATAATTTTGTATGACTGAACAGGATTAAAAATAAACATTTGTATACATTTTAAATATCAATAAACTATAATGAATTGTAAAATATGTTGTTACACCTTCCTGATTTATCCTGTATAAATATGTTCAATAAAAAAATATTTAATTTTATATTGTATTTTAAATTTACAACAGTGTTGTTTTCAGAATTTCAATTATCTTCATAATTATATAAAAATAAGAGACTTTATTACTACCACTAGTACGTAACAGGAAAGAAACAAAGTTAGATACAGTAGTACCCCTAGTTTGGAACACGAATACTGAACACCCCCATCAAGGGTTACAGAGCTAGGGAACCTATCTTATAACAACACAAAGGTCAAGGTCAACCTCTATTGAGGGTACAGCCTACTATGTGAACACTAAATTTGGTCCTATAGGTGTTTCCCTTTGAAGTTGTACTGTATGTGGCAGTAAAGTTTGTGTACATGCATGTTATGTACAGCAAAGAAAATTACAAATTGTAAACTGCATAGTATTCATTATGCATAGCAGAAAACTGCATATTTTAATCCAGCTAAACCTCCCTTGAATTACCCGCAAGGCAAGTGTCTAAATCTCGAAAAAAAGTAATTCATTCAGAAAGATTCATCTCAAACTACATAAACCTAATTATAATAAATTGAAAATGTGATGAGAAAGTGAACGTATAACCTTTGCATGAAAACGACAAGTTGTGTCCGTAACAATTTATGCAACATGTTAATCCAGTCGTTCTCTAAATAATTGCCTGAATAAAATCAGGCATACACAATCAAATTTTGTCCACTGGCATACTCAACAATAGAAGTTGTTTTTGTCATACTGACATATTTTATGCTGTATCTGATAAAATTGTGTCTTTCTAAAGCTCTGCCCAGAATATCAAATTTTATTTGACAAAAACATGCCTAAATATTGAAAATATTGAAATTCAAGTTATTAGTATTTTCAGATACCTGAATGAGGGGTCATTCCCTAAGTTATTGGAAAGTGAAAGTACAGCACTTAAGAGTCAAGATAAACATGATTTTGAGTAATTGCCTTCCAAAGTTATGTGCATATTGTTTAATAGAATTAACTATCAAAATAACGTTAAATAAACGATTTGTTGACTACTTCCAGAACTAATACTTTGGGACATGATTAATATTAAAGACATTAAACAGTTTTTAGGCAATCTTGAGCCCCATATTTTATAGCTTATTTACTCAATGCTGACCTGTACGACAACTTAACCATTTCGCCATGATATGCCTCATATATAGGCACATCATCACTAGGCATATATATGGGCATACAACATTTTTTTGTCAAAGAAAATGTTATAATCTGGACAGAGCTTTAGTCTACTGGACAATGATCAAACATTTTCAGCTGAACTTGCCAAACAAAATTTGATAGTGTTCACCCACATTATCAAATTTTATGTAACAAAGAGAGAATTGCCCATATATGGGTATGGATGATGTCTTATTACATCTATATATGGGCGTGATGATGTCATATCACATCTATATATGGGCGTGATGATGTCATACCCTTATACTGTATGGGCACTTCACACATCTATTTGCCACATAAAATTTGATGGTGTGGATAAAGCTTAACAGCATGTATACATATCACCCATTAGCATTCTATGCATTTAAGAGTTCTTGTGCCTCTTCATTTAAAAGAAAATTCAATTTGACTAGCTTCTAAATATCCGATAAAAGCCTGTTTTACGAGTTATTTGCAATTTCACTGCAAGCTGAAAGTTCTAGTTTATGTAATGTTGTATTTTTGCATTTCTCATCATCCAGTTGCATCTCTGGAATGTTCCATACGGCATTAAATCAATAACTTGGCTCGTGGAGTAGTATTGGCCATGCATGCAGTATTAATTATTGAGAATTCATATTTTGCTAGTGAGTAATGCCAAAATGAGAATGCATTTTTGAATAAAACATCCACCATGGTAATCTCAAGGTCTTGGGTTCGACTCCCTTGGGCTTGACACTACCTCAAAAATCTTTTGATGGCGGTGTTTTTTCATACCAAAGTTACTATCATGTGATTTACCTAATATAAGATATCAATTCTAAATGACATACGCAATTTCAAGAAATGGAAATTAATGACATATGACAAAACATAGAGCATTCAACCTTTAATTTCTCGTCATAAAACAGTTGATTTATTGAAACTAATAATGAATCATATCTTATTACACGACATGGTAATTTTATTCATACACCATTTCAATTAGTTCACAAGAAAAGAATTATTTTAAATGAAAAACATTGCAAATTAAAGACAGGAAAAAGAAAAGGTTATTTATCTTGTTGTAAGTATCCAATGCCAGAAATGATATGAATATAATGATTTCTACTGTTATAAACAGATGCACGCCTACAGTACTGTAATGTAGTAAAAAAGATTTATATTATACATACAAAACCAGCCTGAATTTTCTTATGTCTACTAAATATCAAAACCAAGTAAGCGAATATATTTACGGCCCACATAGTAAAATCATGCATAAAATATCAACTTTCTTTGGGATCCTATTTTGTCAGTCTAATATATTAGTTAAAGTTATGTATGGGCCTTAATACAGAAGCAATGCAGGAATTTTACACTAGGACTAGTAGTAGTAGAATGTTTCAAAATTAGAAAGTATAATCAGGGGAACAAGCAAGCATAATGGTAATAAAAGAATTTTGAGGCAGACTACAATGTAAATAATGTAGTCTTGAGTTATTAATACTCCATAAAAAGTATCTTGCTTGTCCTATACGTCTGTACTAACATACTTAAATGTTTAGACTGTTACTGTATTTTACCCCATAATAATATAAAACATTTAAAAATCAATTAATAGAATTTTAAAAAGCATGTCATATTTTTTTCTTTGATTTTATTAGCCCCTATTGAAGAACTCTGCATTGGGCAAGCAAAAGCCCCATTTATTTGAAGCCACACCAGGTACATTATTGCAAAGTTTCTAGAATGTCCATGAAAATCATTAATAAGACTACGATGAATACATTATTATTATGCCCAATATTAAAAGTGATGTGGTATAATAATCAATTACCGGTATTTAATCAATATCAAGAAACACTAATAGATAATAAGCCAACAATTTAACTTTCATAAACAGCATAAACATAGTTCAATACACAATGTAATATTCCTTCATTTTTAATGAATAATTAATAATTAATAATTTCTTCATTTATTTAATAAGTAGGCCTAAGGCCCTAGGCTATAAATAAAAAAATAAATGCTTAAACAAAATTTAGGTGAATTGGTGAGAAAATAAGAGGAAAAATTGGAAAAATTAAGTAAAGTAATATAATTAATTAAAAACTTTATTTTACTACTACTAGCGTAGGGCAATACGTTTAGAGAGGGTAGGAAGGAGTAGTTTAGAGTAGAGAGTAGGAGGAAAAGGCCTAGCGCCTACGCACTCTCCTTATTATTATACTCTTATTCAATGCGCGTCTCGGTATTTCAAGAGTAACGTCAATATCTTCCTAGGGACAAAACCTACGATATATTTCTTTAGAATCTGATATTTTCAGAAAATAAATGAACATGTCTTACCATTTTATTTCGCCAAATAAACAATCGGGAAGGTTAGACCCTTTTCCTTTACCAATTGTTTAGCACAGATTACAGCGTTGTCGTGGTGCCGCGGTGCGGAGTCAAAAAGTTCAACTACACTTCGCGCTTTGACAAGACTAGAGTATTATTCCGCGATTCGGTGGCAACAATATATGAATAAGAACCATTGAAATAGCAACCGAAGAGCAGAATTGTAACTGGATAGATTGATAAAATATTTTTCTTTTACAACACGAATGGAAAATGTGTATGTACTTTACAATGTGTGTACTAATGGATCTATTTTACTCGTATCACTGGAGTAGTACGCAGGCAAAAGAACGTTGATTGGATGTCACCGATACGCATTGCGATTGGTGGGGCGTGCTGCAGAGTTATCCCAACATTCATATCGAGTATGTTTATTAATGTTATTGGCGCGAAAAGTCGGCTTCTAATGACTGTACTGCATTTTTCATTCTGATCTAATAATTACAAATTAATGAATATCCACACCTTTCATTAACGAGAAAACAATGCATGTTAGATAAGATGATGAAATTAGGTACGATGCATCATCGTAAGTGGGAATTAAGAGAAAGATTTTTCAAGACAGGCCGGGGTTGGCAATCATCCGAAAGATAAATCACACACTAAGTAGTAAAGCAGTGTGTGACGTTCTTGCTATGCGTTGTTGATCATTAAACAATGTTGTTGTGTGATTACGATTTATACAAATACAAAATTGCCTGTTCTTGACCTAAAGCAATCTGTTTAGTTTACAAATTGTTTTCCGTACCTAACAGTCTACAAATCTCCCGAATAAGATGTTGGATGCTTTGCCTAGCCTATATAGAGCTATCAGTGGCGTAATGGTTCCAGGGGCTCTGTGGCGGGCTCTTTGGGGACCCTTTCTGGTCCCGGTCGCCAATTCCATTGTGGGATTATAGATGCCTGCTTGTTTTTTAAAAAATATGTTATTTCATTCAAAATGTTTTAACGGCAAAATAAATACAGTAAAACCTCGAATTGAAGCCCTGGGCTTCTTTTTTCGGGAACCTTGTATGAGCATCTTATCGAGATGGGGGGGGGGTTCTTTTTAAAATGAATGCTGTAAATTTTGTGAATTTGTAGTAGGCTATAAAACAATAAATAGGCCACTTCCACTGTAACATCAATCTGTATCATGGAGTGAAATTTAACTGACATTACAGTAAATCACGTAAACTATGGTACTATATAAATCAGGCTTGTATTTAATTTATTTTGTTTTCTGAAATTCATGTACAGTAGAGGCCTAGGCCTATGTATTGTACTATCTCGAAAAAAGCCTATGCTATCTTGAAAAGAAGCCCGGTTATGGGCTTCTTTTTGAGATGGGCTCTTTTCGAGGATAATTTTGCAAACTAAAGAGGGGCTGAACAAAGCCCTTTTGGGTCAGGGTGCTAGTCCCTGGATATTGGGGGCACTGCGGACTGCCGCACGAACACAGGTTTTACGCCACTGGAGCTAGGCTTACTGTATGCCTAACTAAACAGCAGTACTGAAAAAAATAATAAGGCCTAACGAAGTTCCACCGTTCAATAATTACAACGGCCGACATTGTCATGAGGGTGACAGTGGCGTGAATGAGAGTCTTGAATTTGTGGGGGAGAGGGGGATGATGGGGACCAAAGATGAAGTTGGGGTACCGAAGATGATTAGTTGAAGGGAAGCTAGCTCGCTGGAATAATTGGAATATTGTGTATTAAATTACAAATAACAATTAGCAGATGTTAAATCACATTTCTTATAATATTCTTTTGTATAGTAAAGACCCATAAATTTGCTAGTAACTTTTCATCATTTTGTAGTAAAATGTCCGTAAATCAGCTAAAACTCATTAACTTAGGCCTATTGTTTGGAAGTTAATAATTATAATAATAATATTAATAACTTATTTCATTCTTTTAAATGAGCTATTGTTGGTGACTTAAATGAATTTTTGAGGTCTTACCCGATATTTTTGGCAAACAGTTTTTAACATCACTGTTAACGTAGATGGGGTGTGGGGAACTCTCAAACCTTCCCCCTCTCACTACTGGAAATTTTCTAAGAAAATAGGCCTATATACATTTCGCACACCTTTCGCACCCCACCCCCATCAGCCCCTCCATTTAAATACCGCTAGATACGCCACTGTATATAACAATACATACAATACATAGGGCCTACGTGTGTGTGACAAATAACATTATACCAAGGATCAAACCATTTGAAGAATATTATTTAATTTGAAGATATTAATAGCAAAAAGTTATGTTCCATTTTAAATAACATATGATACATTCACATTTATGCCGATTACATCGATAATTCCCTGGATACATAATACTTTCAAACAAATATACCGTACTCTACAATCAAATAATATGTAAATTAACAAGAAAAAAAAACTATACTATATTCGATTAAATCGAATAAGTCCATTTCATAATATGAAATTCTATATACAAAAACCTAGAAATTATACATCGTTCAATAAGTTGCATTGATGATAACAATACACTCCGAGTCTGTTGTAGTACAGTGTTCATGATTTAAACTTCATGAATACAGTAAAAAATCAATCTTTATATCTGATACGGATGAAAATATTACTAGTCCTCTGGAAAGAGAATATGGAGTTTTCGCAAGCTAACGAAAAAGATCGTTTACGTCATCAAACCTGTATACAACTATCTGTCACAAATATCGGTTCATGCCTTTAATGAATCAAGGGTCATATTCAAATCGTTTAGCATACTGTACTGTCAAGAATAGGCACGAATGACGATAATGCCATAATGGCGTATTCCCTATGTTTCCGTAAGGTTGCGAAAAATCTCTACCAATCACGCATGCGATTTTAACCTGTTTAGTATGCGCAATGCACCGTGAAGTATTGTCATATTCTTCCTTATATTCCTTCATACAGGCACCATAGGCATTTGTATATTGATGCATTGATGCAAGTTTTATAACCGCCCCGATCACAAGTGGTAAAATTAGAAAATCAAGAAATTATATTTCTTAGTGGGAACTACATCTACAATATGCAATGTGACTTAAAATTGCACGTCCTTAATATAAGCCCTATATAGGCCTATTTAGAATAAAATTCCTTTAATTCCCCATGTACAGTGCATTCTGGCGACCAATAGGCATGTCTACTATGAGGTTTTGCAGCGTGCGGGGGGGGGGGAGAGCTCCAGGTATTTCTTAGTCCTCACATAAAATATTAATCTCCGAAATACAGTAGAACTCCTACTACGGCCAATTAACTGGAGACTCCCCAATTAAAGGGACCAACGAAGTTGTTCTGTTGTATTCCAATGACAATTTCATATAAAGCGTTTCATAGAATTCATAATATATAATAAAATGACGTAAATAATGCTTAAAATATGACTCCCTGATTTTACAAGTGTACCACATAGTAGTAGGCTACACAGTAAACGTGAACGGTTGTAACAAATGAAAGCATATCATTTACATAATTAAAAATAAAAGGCATCAAGGTATCGATGAGATAAATTTTATTCCTAGAATATTCTAAAAATATAGAGCAGCACTTTGTTAAAAATTAATATAGTATTTAATTATACACTCAAATAAACATAGCTAATGTGTGGCCCTACTGGTCAACTGAACGCCCTCTATCGACAATTTAAAACTATAAAGAAAAAATGCAGCAACCAGTCGAAAAACAAATTCAACTTCGGTAAAAATAAAAATAGTAAAAACAATAATAAAAATTACTACTACTAATAATAAAACAACTAATATATTTTTATTAAAATGTAATAAGCATTCTTTATGGTCGGTTTAGCTGGAAAACCGTAAAACCTCAAATTGAAGCCCAATGGGCTTAATCTCGAGAAGAAGCCCATCTCGAGTTGAAGCTCCCTCTTTAGTTTGCAAAATTAGTTTCGAAAAAGAAGCCAATCTCACACTGTACATGAGTACAGAAGAAACAAAAAAATTCGCTTGGTTTATACAGTAGTTTAGGTAATTCAGTGCCGGTTAATACACTCAATGATACAGATTGATGTTACAGTGGTCTTATTTATTGCTTAACAGTACTAATTCCAAACATTTACAGCATTCATTTAGAAAAGAAGTCCCCTCTTTACTTTGCAAAATTAGCCTCGAAAAGAAGCCCATCTCGAAAACAAGTTCGTCCAAAGTTCGCAAAAAGAAAAGAAGCCCAAAGTTTCTTTTGCACTTTTTTATGTGTAATAAATAATCGCAAAAATAAAATTGGGGAAATCATATATATACATACATACATACATATATATACATATAAATATATATATACATATATATATATCTGTCTCTTATACACATCTAGATGTGTATAAGAGACAGCCACAACAACAACAATTGACCTTATTTCTACTCCTCCTCTTATACTCTTAATTTTGGAGTCCTTAGGAGGTCGGCTTTACCTCCAGAAGCAGAACAAAATATTATTATCTTGCTATTATGCAGTTGCTGTTCTTATAAAAAAACTGTTAATAAAATACCTCAAGAATGTCACCAGGAGGGCGGGGTCAATGGGCTTCTCGATCTCTGACGGATTAATGTGTCTGTACACCTCGCTTCCAATGATACTAATAAGGGTCGAGATAGACCACGTAATTGTGGCGTACCACATGAACGATACCTGTAGAAGGGAAGAAACTAATAGAGGTAATCACAAAATTTAAGCTGGGACTTCCACTTTAACAGGATGAATGCAGACCATATATTACGTTTGATGAGACCGAATTCAAAATTGCGTGATGACGGATAAGATGATGATATAACGATGATGAACCATCATAATTATAATAATTGATGATAATGAATGATAAAAACGATATAAGGTGATGATGCTGAGTATTATTAATGATGGTGTTTATATGATGATGATAATGAATGATAATGATGATGCAACAAGGCGTATGAAGCTAGCTGGTCACTGCCAAAGACACCAGGATCTTATACCCAATAAGCTTGTTTTATGGGAGCCAACACATGGACATCGGTCAAGGGGACGTCCCGCAAAAACACAGACCTATGTGGAAATTTTGAAACAGGATTCTGGAGCAGGTAGCACTGTGGAACTTGCCAATTGTATGGTGAACAGATATGACTGGAGAAAACGTTGCTTGACTGATCTGATGACGACATAGATAGATATGGTGAAGATGATAGTGATGGTAGGATGATAGTGATGATGATGAAGACGACGACAATGATGACGACAATGGATGATAAATAATAATGATGATGCCGCCGCTGCCGATGATGATGGATGATGACGATGATAATAATGATAATGATGTATGGTGAATGATCATCAATGATGACGAGGCTATCTGATATAGATGATGGCAACGGCACATGAGGTCCAATTCCAAGGAATGCATTGTCCTAAGTTCTTTGATTATACATATGAAAATATACTTACACGGTATAGATAGAATGTGTCTGGATCGGTTGCATCATAAAACATCCCCCCGAACGTCATCCACAATCCAATTACAAATCCAACTGAAACTCCAATAAGTGTTCCCCTAAGGAATAAATAAAACCACAGTGAAAACACAAACATAAACAACAACATATCAAATGGGATTTAGTACTTAAAGTTATTGGTCTTGCGCGGGCATTTTCTATGAATCATTGACCAGTGTTTGGCCAATAGTTAGGTTATTTATAACGCGACTTTACACAAATTAAAATAAAATAATAAAAAAATCTACTTACATTGAGTTGGCTCGCTTCCACATCATTCCTTGTGTGAATGCTGCCAGCAGTGGTCCCCCGGCCGCTCCAAATATAGAATTTCCCATTGAAACTAGTGTTCCCATCTTAGTTGCAAGGAACGCCAAAAATATACTTATAACGCCATAGATGCAAGCTATAACAACAAATATACAAAATGGTAAGAAGGTATCTACAAAATGCTGTGGGAAATACTTATACAATTGGAAACCTGCTATTCTGGAGCACCCGGAAATACGCTGACATTAATTATGTATTAAGTACAAAACCAGCCTAATAGAAACAAACTCAGTGCAAAAATAAAGTTGCACGCGCGACCGATTGGACACACGCGTAACACGTTCATCCATACCCTACTCGGGTGGTAAAGCTACGCCTGAAAAACGCAGGTGACAGAAGGCCGCCGAAATGGTTAGCGTATTAAAAAAAACTTAGTAGCAATCCTATTCACGATATTTTTTTATTCAACTTTAGGCATACAAACAAGATGCTCAAAATATAGTGTCTTATTATGAGGCTTAACATCTCTCACATTATCGCGACCTAGCACTACGACCGTACCGACCTAAGATTGTATCCGACCGGAAGTAGGACCTGCCCTCCGATCGTAGCCCTCTCACACTATCACGACGTAGCCTGCAATCGTACGTTGTACCCCCTAGCATAAACATTTACCTTGGCTTATTTAATATGCATGAAAACACCTCCTGTCATTTATTGGTGGAAAGTGATAATGGCCACTTTTGCCAAATGACACAACACGTGTGACAGCGGCGACCACTATAAATTTTTCAACATGTTGAAAACTCCACGACCATAAACGACCCTCTCCCCTGTCACAGGCAAGCTGCTCTTAGCAGCTCTCACACTATCACGACCTGGCCACGACCGTACTGGTCGGTGTCGGTCGTGTAGGTCGCGATAGTGTGAGTGTGTTATTAGGGAGAGAAGAAAAAACCCACGACCCTACGATTGGAAGGGTGCGGCAGTAGGTTTAAACATCATTATTCTATATGGACAACGTCAAATCACAAAATTGAAAAAAAAAAAATGGTGTGAGCACCATTTTATTTTCACAATTGAATTAAAACACTGTTGCTTTAAGTTGGTATCGTGACACTTACTCAATATTTTAGAGCGGAACGTATCACTTGCATCGTTTTCTTCAACAGGTACATTGTTCCTCTTAGCTCTCCATCTCCTGTATGGCTTCACCATATCCTCCAATGTCACGGCTATCATAGCGTTTAATCCAGATGAAATGGTGCTGGTTAAGATAAGGTGACAAATATTTTTGAATTTCAATGAGAAGTTCGGCTATCCAAATGTCGACCAATTCATATTTTGTAGCTTAGGTATGTTTTCTTAATTTATACGTATTTTTACATATCCTAAAATAACGTAAATGATTAATACTAAAGTACACATGGCATTCAGATAGTTACGCCACCCACTATAAGCTCCAAATATTTGAAAAATAATATTGTTAGAACAGGCAGATTCGTGTATAGCATAGGTATACACGTTTAATTCATTTTCATATATACAGTGCAACCTCCAATTTGACTCCTTTAATTCGAGACCACTTTTTCGAAGAACTAAATAACAATCGGCAATCTTTTAACACGAAGCTAACCGAAGAGACCACCTCAAATGTTTAGGCCCGAAAGTGGTCTCGAATTGGAGCTCGAACTGTAATTGAATTCATATTCACTATGCCAAAACGTATCATAACTATAACACAACTATTTACTAAAACTACACCAACATCAGCATGCAAAGAAATGGCCACAAGGCTCACCTCAGGGTACCAGCCCAGAGACACGCAATGAATAGACCTTGGTAGCCAGGGACATGGCCGAATTGCTCACTTACAAAGTAAATCATAATCTATTAAGACACAAAACGAAAAATCGTTATTTGGAAAATATATATTATATAAATATTGAGCACTCTTTCCATCGTTTACCTAACGTATTTATTTATATCATACATTATCAGTGCTACTATTATTATATATATATATATATAATGAATAATAGTAGCACTATTATTCATTACCGTATACATATATACATATATATACATATACACATATATATACATTTACATACATACATATACATATATTATAGGCCTACATATATATACATATATATATAAAATATACATATGTATATAGGCCTATCACATGAAAGTACATATATTATATATGTATGGTTG